TGGCAACACGTTGTCACGGTGGCAACGCGTTGTCACGGTGGCAACGCGTTGTGACGTGTTAAAAGTACCGTGTTTATTGTTTATTGGCGCTCTGTGGTAAACACCTTTGAACGTACGGTTTTAACACGAAAGCTGTTAATTTAAATAATTTATTATTATTATTACATTTTGTTATTTATGTGAATTATATTACAGCAGTGGCTTTCGATGACGTTTTTTGAAGTGATAATTTACTATGCTTGTATTTTTTGTGAGTCTTAATTACGTTATTTTTTTATATGTATTAGTAGTGCTTCCATTTTATTGTAGCAAAATAAGTATATGTACCTATAGACTTTTTTTAGTCATTTATTTTTGTGAAATCCACAAAATGAATGCCTTTATCCTAGGTGGTCCCACATTCTTGTTATTTAAGGCACGACGCAAAAATAACTGATCTGTATAAGATTTCACGTCACAGAGAAACCAATATTTTTTTGAAAACTTGTCCCACTCGACGAGTTTCTCCTGTATCGTGGGTGCGCTTACAAACATAAAGTTTTACATACAGAGACCCGGAACAACAATTTGTGGATCACACAAAGAGTTGTTCCGTGCGGCAATCAAACGCGCGACACTTTGCGCGGCAGCCAGTTGCGCCTGGGGTAGCGTTTAATATCAAGACAAAAAAACTAATAGGTAATCAGAGTCTAATATTAAATATACAATTTTATATCAAAAACAATTTCTAAGAACACAATTTATTTGAAATATAATTTCATATTTCAGTCTTCAATTTTATTCGCGCAGTGAAACCACACGTTAAATCGCACTTCGAGTCAGTATTCAGAGAACGCTTTTGAGACATGTGTAAGACATTGTACAGAATTATAAACAGAAGTCTCGATATTGTATATTATTATGTTAGGTACTTATTGTTTTAATTGAGCACATCGATCACATAATAATAATAATTAAATCCGCAAGTCAGCTTGTGGCAAGCTGTTGGGCAGTGGCGACCCCACGGACCTGACTCCCGGGAGGTGTCTTGTTATTCATCTCTATTTTGACTATGGATGTTTTATGTAAAAAATATCGTATTAAAATTTTTAAATACCGATTATACAACTATATTTTTAGAGTATTTTTTTTGTACGTTTTGTTTTATAAATAAAGTATGTTAACTATATTGAACATATTTGTTCTTCTGCTAATATAATACTAGGTGTAAATATAGACATTTCACTTGTGTAATTTTGTTGAAATATTAATATATGCGATGTCTACACGAATTCGAGGTAACCGAGCGAGTCGGCGCCCATCAATAGCTGTAATACCTCTAGAATATTATTGCTCAAGCTTATTACTAAATTGTTATCGAGAAAATTATTAATATTAGTTTGTTAAGGGCGATTTCAAGGGTGATTCGTGAAAGTTTCAGGGACAAACACTCAAGAATTGTAGGTAAAGTTGTATTGAGATGGAAAGAGACTAAATAAGTCCTTAAGATCGGAAAAGCGAGGATTTTCCGAATAGGCAAGGCGATTATTGTTGTTAAGTAGCATGGCCAGCTTGCTGCCCAACAGAAATTCTAATGTAGGTATGTATAGGTACATGTTCATTTTTTTTTTTGAGGGGAAAATCATCAAATGACTTCTCCCGCCCAGGGTCAGGCGGGAGGGAGTGTCAGACTCTTACTGACTAAAAACCCCCCTGTTCCTTCTCCTGCTCTGGGCCGAGGTCGTGGTGCCTCATTGTGCTTAACCCGCAACCCCGGCTGAACATACATGTACATTGTGATATTTGGCGCGCAAACTTCACTTCGGTAGGCGGAGCTTAGTCTATCTTAAAATGCTGGGAACGCACTCCTAACTCAAGTAACTACTGGTTAAAACTGGTTTTGTCTAACTCCATCGGAGACGTCGATATTTTTATATTTTATAAATATTTCTTTCATGTGATATGACGGCATACAAGCGTACGAATTATTTGATTTTAAGCAATCAGATATCCGCAACAACGGAGGAGTTACGAGTGCGATGCACAGGATTAGGGATTTGGAGATTTTGAGAGAGGAAGGAATGGGCATTCGGTAATCTCTTCCATGGCCGTGGTATCACTCCCGCCGAGCCGACCCATTTGTGCCGCTGCTTGGCTCTCCCACCTATTTTAACTCGAAAAAAGTCACATTGTAAGTTTTTTTTTGAGGCGGCAAAATCAAATTAGTTCCCTCGCCTAGCAAGCGTAGCAAGAGTCTGACTCCCTCTCGACCATCCAGGTCGAGAGGGAGTCAGACTCTTGCTACTGACTGAAAACCAATACTATCCTTCTCCGGCTCCAAAAATGAGATCGTGTGTTTAAAAAAAAAAACAATAACTTTACCCGTACCCAAAATAATCGACTATGTATCGTAAGCAAAACAATGTTTTAAAAATACAGATATTATGTAGTTAAAACGCATAACACACGGGTAGTAACTAATACCTATACAAATATTGTAAATGTGAAAGTAACTATGTCTGTCTGTCTGTCTGTCTTTTCACTTAAACTACCGAACCGATTTCTGTGAAATTTGGTACCTACAGACATGTTTGGAACTCGAGAATGAAAATATGATAGTTTTTATACCAAAAACCTGCAAGAAGTCACTATTCCAAGCTAGTAACATTATAGATGCGAAAGTAACTTTGTCTGTCTGTTTGTCTTTTCTTCACGCCCAAATTATTGAACCGATTTCTGTAAAATTTGGCATACGCATAGTTTGGATCTTGAGAAAGGACCTGTCCTTTCTCGCATCTCTTAGGTCTAAGAGACCTAAATATAAAAAGGTATAAAAAGTATCCTAAAAAATCTGCAGGAAGTCACTATTCCACGCGAACGGAGTCGCGGGCAAAAGCTGGTGTACAATTTCTTTTATTTTATGTTATAGATCGGAAAACGAGCAGACGGATTACCTGATGGTAGGTAATCAGCGCCGCCCATGGACACCCGCAACGGCGCGGAGGAGTTACGAGTGCGTTGCCGACCTTTTAGGGATTAGGGATTGGGGGTGGGGAAGGATTGGGCCTCCGGTAACCTCACTCACACGGCAAAAAGAACGCTGTAGTTGTTTCACGCCAGTTTTCTGTGAGGCCGTTGTATCACACCGGTCGAGCCGACCCATTCGTGCCGAAGCATGGCTCTCCCACACTTAAAATAATCAAACCAATAATTGAATCAAAATCTATAGCGGCCATATTAATTGTAATCAGTGTTGTACAGAACACAATATTTTATGTATTACGCTTGTTATCCAAGTACCTCAGTAATTGATTTATTTCAATACTGTTATGCGTTTTGTATCTGTTATTAATACTTTGGGGTTGTTAACAAAGCATTATATGTACATATTGTTAAATTTTATACATATTATTATTTATTCAATTAATTTATAAACAATGCGATGACAGGCCGGTACTAAATAAATAATTAGTACGATTCTGTACAATTTTATTACAAATATCTATTTATTAATAACAAACTCTATTTATATATAAATAATTGTTTGTTTGTTATACTTTATACTCATTTATATCAAATTACTATTATCAGATTATTACTACTATTTATACGACGTTAGCTGCTAAAGTAACGTCAGCAGTTTTTCCCGCAGCACCAGGTATTTTTTTGTCAGAGAAAAATCATCAAATAGCTACTCCTGCCCAGGAGGAGGCGAGAGGAGTGTCAGACTCTTACTGTCTAAAAACTTCCTTTCCGTTCCTTCTCCTGCTCTAGGTCGAGGCCGTGGTGCCTAATAGCGCTTATCCCGCAACCCCGGCTAAACATCAGCCTTATATGGCCCCGTCTGTGGTGGTCTGTTGGCTCTTTGAGAAGCGCGCGGAACGCTACGCGCCTCCCGTATTGGGTAGGAGCCGCTGGAGTGCAGCCCCAGTCCGTCCCATCTTGGGAGCCAAACAACGGAAATCAATTTATTTTAAATATACCATAATATACGAACTTTTGAACGTCACACAAAAAATAAATAAATATAAAACAGTTCAAATTTGTTTATGTCAGTCTGTCCTGTAGTGAAGCTATTTGCTAGTTCCAAAGTGCAGATTTCTGTGGAGAAGAACGAGTACGAAACTCCATGGTTACCCTTCTTCAATCAGTTTCAAAATTAATTTCTTTGTTCCATCATTCCGTTCTGATATGTGAGAACCGATGTTTAGACGAAGAATCCGAAAAAGAAATGAACCTCAAGGACAGGAACTTTAAACAGTTTCGATTTGACCAGTCCCAATAGGCGGCGTCCGTATATTTCGCATTTATAATATTAATAGAATGTTTCAACAAACATAATTACCACCATCTACGATAATTATAACAACAGACAGGGACAACACTACCTTTGTCATTCATACCCAAGTGACGCTGAGACATATTTTGCTTGTCCCATCCATCGTCCGATTCAAAATGGCTACTGACAAGTTTAGAACTGGTCGCTCCTATTGGCTATATTTAGCTAATTTCGCCCAACTAGATATTGAGCCTTTGTGGTTATAACATAGGGTGAATGTGTTCTTTATTTGAAATCTACACTACATTTTGAAATATGTGAGGAATAAATGTTTTTTTTTTGTATAAGGAACTGTTTTATTTGTGTCACCGGTAAGTTTTATTTGGTGTTTTTTTTTGTTAAATAAAAACAACAACGAATTTCGGTTATTTTTAGTTTTAAGTAAAATTTATTATGTGACTTGTAATTTTTTTTCATCACTCATTAGGGCAAAATCATGATGACGTATTTGTTTTTTATTTTGCCCATGGCGGCGCCACCCACCGGAGACGACCATTTAGGGCTCTGCAAGAAGCCCGACTACTCTAACGACCTCGCCTGCAGTTGCAGGCCGCGGGCGCAACAGCCGAGACAGGCATCGGCCTGAATCGCGCGACCTCATGTCCCCAGTCGGGGACGGTGAGATGACCATTGGTCTCTCTTTTTATTTCAAAGGCTTTTAATAGGGAAATAAGGGACCTACCTGACATCTCCCATCAATGCACATATCCAGACTGCCTGGTCTGCACCTCGTGCCATCAGATACCCTGGCTGCAAGCACGGCTACCACCACACGATCTTCGTCATCCAGGGACACCGTCTGCAAGAGATATTGACACTTATAATAATGACGTAAGAGGTCCTTTTTGCTTTAAGTTCGAGCTAGTTGATAGGCTGTTGATTACAAAAAGCCTAGATTAAGAAAATTTAAACTTAATTTAGAAGACAATAAGTTTATTTTCGCTTGAAAAGATTCTAGATCAAAATATTTTACAGCTTTCTGGTTTGTAACGAAATATTCTTTTTATTGCATGAAATGTGATACTACGAGTCTTTGATGTCCGTCGTCGAAGATTATTCTTATTTGTATTTATTCAAATAAAAGATAGCGGAATATAATATAAAAGGAATTAGAAGATCCTAGTTACTGTTTTTTTTTTATTTTAAAACATACGCGTATATAAATAACCGCAGAATTTCCAATAATATAACATCTGATATTTAAATTGCGAATGAATTCCTTTAAAGTAACTTAGAACTTTAAAAAGAAAGAAATTCAATACTCTCAACTCTAATACTCAACATTGCATAATAAATTAAGGAAATTTAAAAAAAATATTTGAATAGCGAACAAAAAATTTATAATAAAATAGGACTTTTAACAAATTTTGTTTAATTCAAATAAATACTGCTTCGCTGTTTAAAGAAGCGATTGGTGATAATTGAAATAAAAAAATAAATATCGAAATTTAAAATTGGTAAAACTTAAAGCAATAACTAAAAAAAAATAACGTAATACTTATTTTTTGCATTACATATCAACCTTGTATCAATGAAATACGGATCATAATGCATTAAAACATGTAAATAGGAAAAAATAACATTAAAAGACCAAATAATTATAGCTTTTGATACAAAATTAGGTAAACAAAAAAAAAACTAACAAAACTTCACGTCACATCATCATCATATAAGTGCCCACTGCTGAGCAAAGGCCTCTTTTCACACGGAGAAGGTTTTAAGCATTAATCACGCTTGATCAAGACGGATTAATGGTTCCAAACTTTGGAAACTGTAAGTCCAGGTTTCGCCAGGTTTCTCCCGTTCCCGATCTAAAATAAACCTAAAAAAGTACATACATATACTTAAGTCTTTTATTCCACAAATAAATCCGCATATTATAACTGTATCCTATATTGAAGATGAATGACAAATTTACGTCACATCACGCCAAGATCCGAAATCACGTTGGTACTTGCCAGGTTTCGAGCCCTCCCGAAACAAACCCTTCGAACCATTTTGACTAGCAACAAAACTTGAGCGTTTTAAAAGGTCAAAGCCTAACTGAATACTAAGATTGCCTTATAACCCAGTTAGTACATAGTCTGGCAGACTCCAAAACTTTCTTTTGATACTAGACTGGCATTTTAAAGTTGTTTTCAGCTTTGCATTATGTATTTTAAACTTCCATCGTACGTCGAGACGGAAGATTTCGCTCCAACCATTTCTATTTGAGAAGTGGTACTATAAATGTTATGCATTCTATTTCTGTTTTATGCCAACCTAGTTTAGAAAGGAGGTTATTGTTTAGACACATGTTTTTTTTTTCGTTTGTTTTTTATGAAGAACACTTGATAGTATTAAACATAGTCGCCTTTTCTGCCCCTATGTCCCTATGTATGCGTAAATCTTTAAAACTACGCAACGGATTATGATGTGGATTTCTAAAAGATAGAGTGATAAAAGGAAGGTTTATAAATTTGTATGATAACATCCATTAAATGGTAGAGAAATTTTGTATTAACATAACAACTATACGAAATCAGGACGAGTCGCTAGTCACCGATAAATTATTAACAGATTAGTAATCCTAGTAAGAAAATAAATTTAATCAAATTCTAATTTAAAATAATTTAAGTGTAGGAGAGCTATGCTTCGGCACGAATGAGTCGGCTCATCTGGAGCGATACCATGGCCTCACAGAAAACCGGCGTGAAACAACCGCAGCGTTGTGTCGCCGTTTGAGTGAGGTTACCAGAGGCCCAATCCTTCCCCTCCCCAATCCCACCCCAATCCTAAAATTGTCAGCGACGCACTCGTAACTCCCTGTTGTTGCGGGTGTCCATGGGCAGCGCTGATTGCTTACCATCAGGTAATCCGTCTGCTCGTTTGCCGTCCTATCGCATCAAAAAAATAGTTTCAATACTTACAGGTTCAGGGCTCTGCCCCGAGTGCTGTGGTGTTCCCCTGCAGGTAAGTGCACAGGGCTCAGCGTCATCACGGTGTGCTCGCCAGTGGAACAGTTCCCCCCCATACGGAGTGTCATCATGAGCGCTACATTGCTGCTCCCGCCATATATCCTCTTCTAATAGGGAGACGTTACCACGGCATGGCTGTAGGACAAGAAAACATTCATATGTTAAGACACAAATATGAATATATTATTGGATTAAGAAAATGGATTTTAAGTATTGGAGTGCCAAGATTTGGCACGAATAGTTTGGCTCGGCTTGAGTGATACCACGGCCTCACAGAAAACCAGTGTGAAACAACCATAGCATTGTGTTTCGCCGCGTGACTGTGTTAACCGTAGGCTCAATCCTTCCACTCCGAAATCCTAATCCTACAAATGCCAGAAAATAACTCGTGACTCCTCTCATGTTACAGATGTCCATGGGCGGCGTCAATTATTCACCATCAGTTACTCCGCTTGCACATTTACCGACCTACCATATAAAAAAACTAAATTTGTCGAAGAACCGATGACCATTGGGTCTTTTAGCTAGGTGGATTGACGATATTCTTCTGGTGTCTGGTAGTGATTGGATGAGAAGAGCTGAACATCGAGCTCAGTGGCGTGCAATTGGGCAGGCCTACGTCCAGCAATAAAAAAACGGGGCGGTTTTAGTCAGTAAGAGTCTGATCTTAGTGATCCAGTAAATAAGGTTTTATTGGATGATTATCTCCCTAAATTTTTCCTTTCTTTGTAGGTTTGTTTTTACTTAATTCTAGTACCATAAATAGTTTGTTTCTGTCAAAAACTGTTCGAGTTCGGAGAACATACTAAAAACAAATATTATTGGATTATAGAACGTATTTCTAAGAATATAAAAGCGTTTGTGACGGTGCAAGCGTTAAATCCGTGCTATTAACACGTAAAGCTTTGGTCACACGCCACAAAGTAATTCAAGTTAAAGTACTAATCGTTATATTTATTGTTCCAATTATAGTTTCGATAATCAACTCATTATTGTAATAGAAGACGGCCAAGGAAAATAAACGCTGACCTCTTTAGACTTTTATTTTAATGTAACGGATTACCTGATGGTAAGCAATCAGCGCTGAACTTAAACATCCACAAAGATGGAGAAGTTATGAGTACTTTGCCAACCTTTTGGGGATTGGGAGACTTTGGGATTGATTGCAGCAATGGATTGGGCCTCCGATAAGCCCAAACACACGGCGAAACACAACGTTGTGGTTGTTCCCACTCTGGTTTATATGAGGCTGTGGTATTACTCCGATCGAGCCGACCTATCGTGCTTAAACATGGCTCTCCCACGTGGCTTTACAAAGAAGTTCAGATGCATGAATGGATTGGGGTATAAGCCCTATACCAAGGCTTAGAGCAGGAGAAGGAACGGGGTGGTTTTTAGTCAGAAAGAGTCTGACACCCCCTCTTGTGAAGTGGTATGATTATTTTCCCCCTTAAAAAACTTATTCCTAGTATGAAATATGGTATTTAACTTTTCGTCACGTTCTGTTTACAAAAAAACAAACTCTGAGCGTTTTTCAAGGAAATTTGACTGCGCACAAAAATGGCGACCATTTTTTTTATTACAGTCGAAATACTCCGTATTGTCTGTGATATAATATTGACTTTGTTATCGTGAAAAACTTTATTTTTTTTAAATCTGGTATATCTGATGCAATATATTCGATTGTAGATATTGGCTGAATTTTTTATTCAGTATCTCAGTTTCGAAGTAACATTTTAGGGTACAGTACGGCTTGTAGCATTCCACGCGCAACTAAAAGAGCCTTTAGACCAGCACCGATGGGGCCCAACAGGGCTGATGTTCAGCCAGGGTTGCAGGTTAAGCGTAATAATATTCTGTGACCTCAACCTGGATCAGGAGAAGGAACGGGGTGGTTTTAAGTCATCCAGGGCAAGAGAAGTAATTTGATGATATTACCTTCTCTAAAAAAAGATACCGTACTCAATGGTTAAGAACGGGGAACCTGTTTTATTATAGCTTTCGTGAGACATTCGAAATTAATTATTATGTTTTTGGCTTACTCACGTAATAATTTGACGAGATAATCGACTAGTTTCAAGCCATGCTAGAGGTCCATATTCATGACTTATATTATATTATGAACCGTGATAGCTAGACATTTGATATTTAGACAGATAATGTATTTATGTAACTGCCATAGAAAGTATAATAAAAGGTATAAAATGAGCTCCTTTACAACAAATGTGATTTTGGTACGAAAGGCACAGTACACAAGTCCGACTTGCATTAGAACGGATTTTTTTATGATCTCCACAATATTTCATCAAAATCGTTGTAGCCGTTTTTGAGATCATGATGAATAGATACCATACGTCTATCTGTGAATAATAAACGTTAATAATATTTAAGAACTGCTCGTTCATTCCCTTCTATGTGAAACAGGCATAATATTACAAATGTAATGTTAGTTAAACATATATATAGGTAGAACAGTACCTATTATTACAGAATTAGGTTGAGGAGAGAAATACGTTTTGTTTGCTATCGCTAACGAAAATCTAGGGCACGTATATTATCGGACTTGAAGGCGGAGCGAGCGACTTAAGGCTGGGATCACGTTCGGATATTTGCGGATATCTTTGGATAAATTTGTTATATTAAAATGCAGTGTTATTGTAGTTGAGTGGGTGCAGCTGTAAGTGTGTAATAAGGGGTCTTAGATACGCAACATTTTTAGGACATATTTGATATGGAGATACGAAATTAAAGTACAAAAACAGTAACTAATTGCCGTTGCTTATATATTATAAAGAGGTAAAATTTGTAAGTTTCTATGTAGGGGGTAATCTTTAGAACCGCTGGTCGGATTGCCAAAATTCTTTCACTGATAGATAGCTACAATGTTCCCGAGTGCTATAGACTATAAAACATCACGCTACGATAAAATGGAGCCGTGAACAGTAGGGGAAAACGCGCGAGAGTAGCTAGTTGCTTATATAGTAAGCTGATCGATGGGTATGGATTTCTTACTATATTTGTACTGAACCAATCTTTATTTTTCACCTGTATACCAAAGAATATCCTGCAGATTGGACATTTCTGTTATTTATATTTTGCTATTTAGTAACTAACTTGTCTTTCTTTATCGTCCAGTACCACAAAATAAAAAAAAACCTCTTATTTCCAGTAATCCATTACCATTGTGTTAATTTGCCTATGTTTTTTAACTATTAAACTATTTTGATATACCACTTAATGTGGATGACTGTTAAGCGTATGATATTAAAATAGTTTATCTATTTTAATAAAAATGAAACAGAGATTGCTCTAAGCTAGTAATGTAAATGTGTTATAAATATCGTTTATTTTAATCATTCCCTCTTATATTTTTTAATATTTAGCCTTCATCACTCCTGGTGGTAAACGATGACGTGACCTACGATGGAGCAAGCCTTCCAATAAGCAACCTATTCACTCGGGCCTTGGAAACCCCAAGTTATGCCCTTCGGGGAACACAGACTCCGAAAGAATTCCACTCCTTAGCGGTTCTGATTATAGAACTGGATGCGAACCGCTTCGTGCATGGGGGAGGGATATTCACTATGAAGCGATGACATTTTTCCGAATGCCTGTTGTCTGGGATGGTGGAATAAGGGAATCAAGGTGTGTAGCTACCCCAAACATTCTCCAAAATGTTTTTGTAATAAAAATAATTTACGACAGTAACTTTTAATTATTCGCAAATTTTATATTGGCTGGGTATAGATTATAATTACGAAAATTAAGTTTATAATTATGTAAAATATTCATGTTTCAATAAAATAGTGAAAATGCAGCGGTCAGAAACGATCCAAATTAAAGTAAAATTATATAACTCAGAAAAACAAAATATTATGTATACCAATTTTCAGAAAAATCAATACTATATTGGACTAGATAGGTAAGAATTCCTCTGATTATGATCACAAATTGTATAGTTTTACTGTGGTAACTTTTTAAACTACAATCTCCAATCTTTTTGCCAAGCGTGGAGATTAAGATCATAGGTATTTTGTGGAGCCCCACTATCCTGTTTGAACTGGATGGACTCCTACAGAGTGACAATGATGAGGTAAACAAAATAAATTAATAGGAGCTGCAGACACTATTTAAAAATTATATTGCTATAGTTGAATTAGTCATTATACTCAAAAACCGATATATACCGAAGGAAATTAAGGAGAAGAATTGAGCCTCCAGTAACCTCACTCACACGGTGACATACAACGCTGTGGTTATTTCACGCCGGTATTATGTGAGGTCTAGGTCCCTCCAGGCGACCCAACCCATTTGTGCCGAAGTCATCGCCGTCACCCACACTTAATTGAATCGGAAAAAGTCATATTACCACTTGCCAGGTTTAAAACCCTCGTGCATGAAAAACGGGCGCCATAACCTCCGGACAACTATAAAAGTAACTCGTATTTCTCGGATATTCGGATATGCAAGGCACATCCCTATAACAGAGCGGAGAAGCTCATTTCAAATGTCAAAGGTATAGTACGCAAAGAAAATATTGTTTATTTTGAACCTTGTATTTTTCTACCCTGTTCGGGGAAACATGTGTTATTGTTATTGTCAGAAGCCGCTGCTGCTGGGGCGGGCCGCTGGTTTTACAATTAAAACCAGCGGCCCGCCCCCGCTTATCACGGGTCCAACTATCTCGCTATCAAAGTGTGACTTTTTCCTAATCTTCCCCTCTACTTTTCTTTGATAAGAACCTTCTCCTGACAATAACAAACATAACAAAAAAAGAATCAGCAAAATTGGTCCAGGCGTTGGTGAGTTATGCGCTTACCAACACATTTTGCGATCCATTTTTATATATAAGAAGAAGATAAACTATCTTCCGACCGCGACTTCACACGCGTATAAAAGTAACGTATACCGGGATTTAAAAAACAGCAACTTTTAAAGCGATAGATTGACTAACTATGTATATACGATCCACTAATACGCTAATGAAGTATAATTTAGCCTATGTGCTATAGACTACACTGTAGCTATCTATCAGTGAAAGAATTAATATCTTCAAAACTACAGCACATAAAAGAACTCGAGATAGACCAAAAAATAGGTTATTTTTTTTATTATTCTCATGTGTAATTCACAAA